TCCAGTTTATCCCATCAGATAATCTCCAGAATCTTTAGCCTTTCCTGAGGCTAGCCCGAGGGTTTTCCACAGGGAATGTGGTGAGACCTTCATTAACCTCAAATCTAGGAGACTGGTGTTCCATCACCCAGAGCCATCAGAGCTATTGTGTATAGCTTACAAACTTCAACAAATAAAAAGGTACAGCTAAGCACTGCATACTTTGATGATAAAGCATTAGGCCAAAGCCTTAAGATAAAAGCATTTAAATGCCAAGTGCACAGAATTCTAACATGCTTTTTGGCTCCCTTTCTACTTGGGATGCTAAATTTTAATTGTGCTATAGTCTTCTGCTATATCAATGTTTCTTGAAACCCATATACTGTTATTGCGCATTTAAGTTGTTTCAAAGTTTTATCTAACAATCCTTGGGTGAGCTATCCTTTACTTCAGTTGTGTTTATATTTATTCTTTTGAAATAAATTCCTGAAAATAAATTCCTGAATTAAAACCACGCATACAAAAGCATTTTCACTCCCTCTCTCCCTTCTCCCTTCAAGGTGCATGTTCGAGGGAGTCAGGCAGAGGTCCGACGACAGTTTTCAGGAGTTTCTCAGAATTTGTTGTCGGCCTCGGTGGCAAGCCTCTTTCCCCACTGAGCCATCATGTCCCCAATTGTTTCCTTTTTTACACTTAAAATTACACGCACTGCTGTTTACTGGAAGGCAAAGCTAATGAAGATTTACAGGAAAATCTCAACCTCATGTTCCTGATCTTATCTCTCTTAAAAGGTGACTGCTGTTAGATATTTTCTTTGGCTATTTCCTGGGTTCTCTCTGTGTTCTGTGTAAGTGGGATCAATACCTCCCTCCCTCCCTCCCTCCCTCCCTCCCTCTCTCTCCCTCTCTCCCTCCCTCTCTCTCTCTCTCTCTCTCTCTCTCTCTCTCTCTCTCTCTCTCTCTCTCTCACACACACACACACCTGTGTAATTCGTTTTTATCGCAAGCATTCATTCTTCTTAGTGTCAATGTCTTTCTGGGTGGGGATGCACCAATGACACTTGTTCAATTAAAGCTATAGAAGGTAGCCATGATTTAATCTACAATCCTCTAATTGAAGGACACTACTGTGGCCTCAGATAGTTTCTCTATTATGAGTACTGCTGCAATTAACATTTGGAAGTCTTTTGATGCATACTCCTGACATGTTCCCCGGCAGCCACCATTTGTACATCCTCTCCAGCACTGAGACTGCTTCCCTGTAGCTATACCATCACCCATCCTTAGTTTTGATCCCGTGCCAATCTAAAAGGCAAAGAGTGGTGTCTTGTTGTTTAAATTTGCATTTCTTTGATTACTAATTAGGCTGAACTTTTTCATATATTTGTTGGCTGATTTGCATTCCTCACTTTGTGGAATGCTTGCTTGAGTCTTTTGTGTACTTTTCCATGAAAGTCTTGCAAATAACTCTGGCCTTTGCTCTCTTTGTGACATTTCTTTATGAATCTTTAGGACTTTTAAAATGATTAAATAGCTTTTAGGCCAGGTAACTTGATCTTTCTGTCTGACTGTCTTGGTATACTTGACACATTTCAAAGTTATATAAATTTCTAATCTAGAAATATTGCTATAAATTATGAGATAGGACTTTGTCTCTTCAAATGATTAATAAGTTCTCAAACACCTTTCTTTCACTTATTTCCACTCAGCTTATGTCTCACCATTGTCACATTAGTGAATTTTCCAATGCTCTGGCATGTTTCTCTGGGTCCACTTGTTTCTGGAATTGAAATTATTATAGTCTTGTAAATTATACATGCCAGGGCATGCAATCATCTTCATTGTTTGTAGAACCCTGTTCTAGATAATGTAGTTTGTAACATCAAGAGAACTTGCAAATCATTTGTATTGGTTCCTTGCTCCTCCAAATATAAAAGTTTCTATTGAGATTTTGGTTGAAGTTGTGTGATAAATATTCAAGAAGTGATATTGTGGACATGTGAGATATTAAAGGTTGGAACTTAGTGATCTCCATTTTCTTTGTTTGTCTTTTAGTAAATTTTGAATTGTTTCCCTACTTCATTCAGTTCCAGCATCAATTGTTGCTAACTTGTATGGGAATTTTTTCCTATTATGTCTTCTTATATATAGACATATGTGTCTGCATTTTTCAGTAGATCTAGTGATTAAGTTGACTCTTTGGAATCTTACAAATACCTTGTGCTATAGCTATAATTAGGGTTTGCGTTCTCCTTTTCCCTTCATCACCAATTATGTCTTTTATTTCCTAAGCAGTTAGCCAGAAGGTCTTGATAATCAAGAGTAGCAAAGGAGATGATAGGCATTTTTTGTATTTGTATGCTTTAAAATTTCTTTTTTTAAAATAAAATTTCCCAAACAGTGTGTGAGATGCATGTAGCCTACAGAAATGAAAGTTATGCGAGGTCTTTTGATTTTTTAAATGCTAAAATCCATCCTGAGACTACTAGTTTGAAAAGTGTGTACTAGAGAAACGTCCATGGAACTGATACTGTGGGCATGTTGATTCCTAAATCACTGAGAGATTGGAACATTAGATTGCAGCCAGGTCTGAAACCTGAGTCATCTAAGAGTGACAGGTTTGAAAAATGGGCTTTGGGTTCACCTGATTCTGCTACCTAATTGTGGAGAACAGGGATTTTCTCCTCCTCCTCCTCCTCCTCCTCCTCCTCCTCCTCCTCCTCCTCCTCCTCTTCCTCTCCCCCCCCATCTCTCTGTTTCTCTCTCTTTCAGGAGCTTCCAGGTGTTCAGTGGACAGTCAGACTATACATATTTGTTGGTTAGGAGAGGAGGCCACAGTCTTTGATGAAGCTTGTAAGGAAGTCTTGGTGATTAAAGCTGAAGACTACACACTACACCCATCATCACGGGAAAGTTTCTTCCCAGGCTTCTGGAACTCCTGACACCACGGAAAGAGATCCTTTCTCTGCCTTTTGCTGTCTCAGCACTCCTGCCCTTCCTATGTGTTAGTACTCCTCATGTTTCCTCTTATCCTGAATCATACATGCACACACACACACACACACACACACACACACACACACACACACATGCCTCTTTGTATATGGGGTTGCCTAATGGAGATGCTGGATGTTTTAATGTCCCCATGAATGCCCTCACATGTTTTAAATTACATGGAACAGTGTGATCCCTATGAGGTTTGCTTTTCAGCCTTGTTAGGAGAGCCACAGGAGCCTTCAGCCAATCACTGATGAGACACCCTTTCAAATGCTGTCTTCCATGCCCCGGGAATATGCCTGTTCTGCCACTACACCTGGTAGGGCCATCTGGCTGATTTCTGAGACGTGTGAACTTAGTCTTTCTGGTAGCTAGTTCTTTCTCACAGTGCCAAGCAGTTCTCAGCTCAAGGCAGAGTTCTGTGCTTCTGCAGTTCTCTACAGCTTTCTCCAGTGCCATGAAGTCCCCATGAACTCGTATCAGCTTGGCCTTCATGGAGCTCCAATTCTAGTTCAACCAAGGGTGTGACCACAGGAATCACTACAGCAGTCCCACCTGTCCTGTGGGCCGGAAATCCTGCCAGAACTGTGGCTTACTGTATCCACTCTAAGAGACATCCTTGTGTGTATTCTAATTGCTTCAAGTAGAAAGTAAAGCTAGTCTCTGCCGTTATTTGTAGTCAGACATTGTTTAGTTTGAAAGTATAAATAACTTCTATTGTAAGTACTCCTTTACCATAATTATTTTCTGACCCATGTACAGAGACAAACATAAAACTTACATGCCATGATTTTTTAAAAAATCTTTATAAAATTGATGGGGAAGTCCTGTGTATATGTCAATAAAGCACTGTTGGTCAATAGGGAAGCAAGATAGGTGGGATTAGGAGTTGAGGAGGATTTGGGGAAAGAGAGACACAGGCAGACACCATGTAGGCCGCCAGAGTAAGAGGTCCAGACCTTTTCCTCTGGTAAGAGAAATACTTAGATTAACAATTATGGGTTAAATACTTAAGTCAGAGCTAGCCAGTAAGAAACAAGCAAATGGCCAACAGCTTCATAACTAATATAGTATCTTGTGTGTTATTTGGGGACTGCAACTGTAGCAGGGCCCAGACAGATTTTGGGGAAGGCAACAGGTCACATAAAATATATACTTTGAATTTTTTAGAAAATATTTATTATTTTTGCTTTATATATAGGGATGTCGTGCCTTCATATGTATGTATAGGAACTGCAAGTATGCCTGATGCACATAGCTGCCAGAACAGGGTATGGGAGCTCCTGGAACTGGCGTTAAGGAGTTGGGAATTCTCTACAAGAACATCAAAGACTGTTAAGTTCTGAAATATGTCTCCAATGGCATGCATTTTTATTTTTAAGTAAAATTTAAAGCTAGCATACAAAGTCATATGTGTGCATATACACACACACAAATGTAACTATATATATATATATATATGTATATATATATATATAATTGTATTTTCTCCTCATTCGTTGCCTCCCATTATCTTCTCTCCATGCTGTCTACTATCTTCTTGCTCTCCCCTGCCTCCCCCTAAATAGCTCTTTTCTGCTTTCATGTCATATGCACATCTGTGGCTTTAGAGGTAGTATGTGTTTCTTTTATTTTAACAAGTCATCATAGACTCATGGTCACTAAGAAAAGTCAGTGTTTTTCATTTTTTTCAGTATTAGGAATCATTGTCCTGGTGCTAATTTGTTACTAAAATGTTTCTTTGTCTATGGTTATTTGCATATTTGTGTATACATTGGGTGTTTTTAAGATTCTGAAGGTCATAATCCTTGTGTGACAAGGACTTTGTGCCATGCACTTCAGTTTTTCATTATCCTTGAGAAAACTGACCTAACTTTTCATTTCTCCAGTTTCCAACTCTTGCAGCGACAGAGATTAAAAAAAAAAGAAGCAAAACCATAATTCCAAGTTTTGTGGGTTTCAGATATTCTTCATACACTCAAAATGGAGAAGAAATTGTTTTAACTGAATTTAATTTCTTTTTAGGTAGCTCCAAGTGTCACCTTCTGGGCAGAGAAGAGTCCATAGAACTTGAAGACATATTCTCTGTGAGGCTGAAGCGGCGCTGTTCTGTGAAGCAGCCAGGCAAAGGCACTCTCTTGGGCATCACCCTCTTTATATGCTTGAAGGAGCAACAAAACAAACTAAAGGATTCTACCCTTGATCTTATTAACCTGAGTGAAGACCACTGTGACAAGTGGTTCAGGGAGTTCAAGAAAATTCTGGAAGGTAAGTACTCACCAAAGGAATTTTTAGTGAACATGGGTCTCCTTGATATAGGTAAGGGGTTGGCAAGGTGGCTCAGTGGTCACATAGTGGCTCACAGCCATCTGTAACTCCTTGTCCATGAAATCTAAGGCCCTCTTCTGGACTCTATGAGAACCAGGCATGCACACAGTTCACAGATATCCATGTAGGCCAAGCACCCATACATATAAAATTAAAATTTAAAATCACAAGTTATTTTTCTGGGCAAAGGAAACATTTGATTGTGCTGTGAGCATATATTTTTGTTTCTAGTCTCTTCATTATGTGGGGATCTTGTATCTTGTCAGATGGTTTCCATAATGTCAGCTAAGAAAATGATATAATTTCTTCTTTATTTTGTTGATATGATTGATGTAGTACTATGGTTGAAAATTGTGTGTTTAACTATCTTTGCATTCAAGAATAAATCTCATTTTTCACGGTATATAATTATTTTAATATGCTATTGAATTAATTTGATATAACTTTGTTAAAGGATTCTTGCACAAGTGTCCATAAAAACATATAATCTTTAGATTTTCAATGGTACTATTGTCTGAGTTTGACATCTGAATAATCCTGATCTTATAAAATGAACTCTAACTTTTGAACAGATACACTTATGAAGTTTTGGTAATTCTAATCAAGACAGATATTTATTTTATTTATATGTACAGGTGCTTTGTCTGAATGTGTATCTGTACACCACATACATGAATTGCCCGTAGAAGTCACAAGAGGCACTGGATCCCCTGGAACCGCAGTTACAGAGAGTTGTGATTTGCCTTGTAGGTGCTGGGGATCAAACCTAGGTTATCTTGACCACTGAGTCATCCGTCCATCTCCCTAACAAATTTTAAAATAATTTCATTGTGTTTAAAAATTTTTATTTCTTTATATATGTGCATTGTGGATATATATGCCATAGTGCATACATGGAGGTCAGAGGACAGCTCTGGAGTTGGTTCTATTTTCCTCACCTTCATGTGGATACTGGGGATTGAACTCCGGTGGTCAGGTTTCCAAGGAAAGTACCTAATACCTTTTCCTGAATACACCTTGCCAGCCCAGTGAGTTATTTTTAGATGTATCTTTATTGTACTAACTCATGTTTCTCCTGAGCTTGTTTTAGAACTAACTCCCCTCCTCACCACACATTGCTAGCAAAGTACATTTATGTGTCAGCATTTAAAAATAACATTAAAAAAAGATGATCCATAATATGCTATGCATTTTACTCTTAGGGAATTGTTTTCCTTAGGGTAGATTTTTCTGAAGTTTAATGCCTGAATGTGTTCATGAGGGTATGTCAAGTACTGGACTTTGTGTGTTTGAAATTTTGAAGTGGCATCTTTACGTTCTGGATGCTAGAAGTCTTCAATATCATGTACTTCAAATGCACAGAACCTAATTAAAATGTCCATTTGGAGATTAGATATTATTTCCCCACTGACCCATTTTAAATATTTTATCAGGTTGGGCAGTGCAGAAGTAGCCAGAGTAGTTGTTGCAGCTTGGGGTTGGATGACTGTGTTGGATACCAGAGAGAAAGCAGGTCATGGTGACATCAGGAGCTTCCAGCCCCAGCAGCACTGATCTGGAATATCATATGGACAAATGCTGACCTGTGGTGGATAGCTACTGAGCATTTGCTCATAGCTGATCAGCTGAAGTGACTGCTTCAAGGCCTGGAGAGTTTGCTTTCTTAGCAGCTGCCTTGGGATCTTTACAGGACCTGCCTTTCAAGAGGACAGGAGCATACATAGGCCAGTGTTTAGTTCATCTCTCTATAAACAAACAAACAAACAAAAATGTGTTTATAACTAGAAGGAATTCCTTGTAATGTGTTATTTTTTCAAAGCCATTATTTTAAAATTATGCCAAAAGATTTCAATTAAATTTATTAGCTTGAATAGGTATTCGAAAGGCCTGGATAGTCAATAAGTTAAGAATGTGTCATTTACTTAGAAGAGTGAACCTCTTCCTTGTGCTGAGGTCTGAGAAATCTCCCAGAGGGCTTATGAAGAGCTGGCTGGGGCAAAGCCAATATATCTCACCCATAAAGTCAACAGCAAGTAAGCAGAGGATGTCTGAGCAAACCTCATTTTGGTAAAAGCAATTTTATAGGAATAGAGAGACTTGACAAAATCCAAACAAAATACCCTTGAAAACACTGTCCAAATATTTAGTTTAATGAATAATGCTTTAGCTTGATCTAGGGTTAAAAATCTACTCAAATTACAGAGATGAATAAACTACACATCATTGACAAACATCCTCTGGGGATCTCACTTTCAGCTTTTGATTTAGATAACAGTAGGAAACCATGAGATATATAGGGTCATTTTCTTTGGCTTGCTTCCGGAGTGCAGAATTACTTTGCTCATTGAAAGTAAATAGATTGACTTCTGAAACCAACCAATGCATCTCATAAGGGTTGAAAGCTTCTCATGACAATGAAAGAACCTAAAGAAGATGGAAGCATGCACTCCATCTCTGCATCCAGGGACCAGAGTGTCCTGAAGGGAACAGTTGGCTTCTTGTCCCATCGGAGACAGTCTGGATCATCTCCAGATCTCTGCCAGTGATATAACATAGGATCTGCCTTTTCCTGCTTACAATCTAATGTACCTCCTTTTTTCAGATTATATTATTGAAGAATTCATTAAACTGTTTATCATCTGAGAATGAAATACAGTTGGCTCTAATCCTCTTGCATGAATGGTGGAAGCCCATGTCCTTTCCAGGCAGAGGGCAAAGGTCTGTTGCCCAACTCCTCGTGAACTTTCCTTGGAGTTAAGTCTCTCTGTTTTACACCTGCCATTCCTGCCTCTGACATAGTGGCTTACATTTTGACAGAGTGATTGCTGTTTCCTTATGCCCCTTATACCTCTGCCCAGTATTCACCATCTAAAGAGGATTTTTTTTGTCTGTGGAAAGTTTGGGAGGTGACAGAAATTTTGCAAATCAAAAATGTATGTAATTTTCAGGTAAGTATTAGACAATGATATTTTAATTCCAAGGACAAAGTCCTTACTTCTAACTGGGTCTGCTGGTAAAAACAAGTCTTCTGAAAAATGGCATTGAATTCAAAATTATTTTGTGTTTTGTCTTGATTGAGCAAGTAGAATTTTTTTCCTTTATTGCCAGCACTTACACCTCCCTCCTTGTATTGTTCCAAGGAGAAAAACATGGAGACATTCAAGGCTCAAGTGGGTGGTCCTCTAGTCTTAATTAATCTAACAATTACAGTTTTATATAGTTCTGTCACTGTGTTATTTATAAATTTGAACAATTATACTTGGAATCTGAGCAAGGAATAAGATGTGATAATTTTTATGGGAAAATTGGCAGTAGTTGGAAAAAGAAAGCAATACCAAATACTTGAGATTTGAAAACTAATTAACATTGACTAAATAATTGCAGGTTTATAAATATAAAAGAACACTTTTTCTTTTTATCTAAAAATCAATTAATTTCACTCCTGACCCTATTTTCTGAGCCTAGTAAAGCACAGACTCTTTTAACTTTATTTGTGTTTTTGAGACAAGGTCTATATAGCTCAAGCTAACCTTGAACCCGTGTCTTCCCTTCAGAGCCTCCCCATTGCCAGGATTTCAGGTGTGTACCCAGCTTCTTTTTCAACTTCAGTAATAGAAAAGCTGTCTTAATTTTATAACCAGTAAGCAATGTGATTCATTCATACAGCACACATTATGTAACAGACTCTGTGCTATGTGTTGCAAACAAACAGAAAACCCAAAGACCAAAGAAGGAAGAATGTGGGGTTGGAGAGATAACTCAGTGGTTAAGAGCATGTACTGCTTTTAAAGAGAACTTAAGTTCAGTTCACTAGCAGGCTCACAACTGCCTGAAACTACAGCTTCATCTGGCCTCTGCTGATACCTGCATTCAAATACACAAACTGCCCCTGCATTGCCCCCAACTGAAACCCTCACAGCTACACATAGTAAAAATAATAAAGAAAATTAAAAATGGATATGTACTCCTCAAATTTTCTTGCCTTGGAGACAGACAAGACAATATGTTATTTTAAAAGTGTGTGCAATGAAGACACAAAAGAAACTTAGGCAAAGCATGGTAATTGATACAGGAATTCAAGGGTTTCTTATTTTTATTTTTGGAATTGTCATGACTATGTCGAAAGTTGTCTAACATAAGGTTTTCCTACTTCAAAAGGGTACCTGTCATACAAAGATATATATGATATATATGCACAGCTTTAAACTTAGTATGTATATATACTAGATTTCATTTTTATTCCATTAGGACACAATCCTACTTTTACAGATTTGAATTTCCTAGTAATGATAATTTGAAATCACCATTGGACCCTGATCCAAACTTTTCCCTAGAGATTGTAATCGAGATTTGAATGAATATCATTGGGTCTTCTAGTATGCACCCCAGACAGTCTCACTGGTGTTGTTTTTGACCCTCCTAATTGACTGAAACCTATAGAACCAAGAATAAGACATTCTTAAAAGTGAAAAATCTCTAAGAATGTCTGCTAAGTAACTTGAAAAATGAACAGGTAGAGTGGAACCCCACTCTGATTGGCTCTAAGGGAAGATGTCCTGATCTGGATACATTAGGGATGTGTTACAAGGTTGCTCTTTCTTTGGAGAATAATATCCCAGCACTTTGAGAGCTGTTTGTTAGGAAGTGAACAAAAACAACCATTATAGGAATAGAGGCATGCTTGGAAAGTGGTAGTATACATCTTAAAGACGACCAAAGACTAAAGAGAAAACCACAGGAAACTTATGTAATAAAATATTAATGAAAAACCTTAGAAGGAAGAAATAAAAGGTAGAAGTCTTTTAGAACATGCCTGCTGAATTTTGTTGATATATTTAGGACTTGTTATTCTATTTCCAATTAATAGAAACAAGTAATGGTATTTTTAGCACACACTGGAGGAGATTTAGTTCTGATGTCATTACTGTTCAGTTTCATAT